AAGCTTTTATCATCTCCGCAAAGTCATTTTGAATCACGACTGCACAGTAGAATTTTTTGTGGATCCGCTCAGTTGATATCCTGACTTGCTTCAGTACTTTCCGAACGAATTTGAGAGGAAACAAGAGGCTCGTACATAACAACCTGTTAGCTAGGTTGTTTTAAGACTTCAAAAAGAGGAGAGCTGTTTTAGGTTGAAATAACAGTAGATTTGGACGGAGCGAGAAACTGGCAGCATTTCAATCGATACCGATCGATTTCATGTGAACTGTGGAAGATTCGCTTCCACTGCAGCACAGAAACAATGCTGTGATTCCCGACCCCACTCATTCATTTCTACTGACATAGAAAGTGTTAGCAGTTTCCTAGACGTGATCCAGAAGTGAAGCATTCAGAAGTGAGTTGAGTGAAAAGGGCGGAAACTTTCCAAAGAACCCAATATTTCCACTCATCTCATGCAATACGATACACTCCATTATCTCTCAGCACTTTATTTCATTGATAAATTATGCGATATGCAGCCATTAAAGACTTTTCAACAATATATTCCAACATTCTGATAATGCGAAGTATTTTTCATCAATCTGAACAATATTAGTCGTTATTGATTTGATAAAAATTCCATCACCACAGTCATATCACCTTCGGAACAGAGAAAGAGAATGCGATTCATGAGAATACATGACTAATTATTCATAAAACCTAACAGAAGAATTATACATAAGACGACCAGCATCTGGAACTGTTCAATTAAGCAATTTTTGTTGACAGACAACCTTCTGAAGAAGTTAATGTACATAATACCCCAAAATCCTATAGGGAAGTCCGCTTTGCAAAGCGAGCGCTACTGCTACAGCATGTGCATTGTTTTACCCGCCGTTTATTATGTAAAGGCACGGGTCACGATTGCATCCTTAAAGAAATTTTCACAAACCGAGCAAAAAAGGCGGTCGATTAAAAAGGGGCTTCCGAATGAAAAGGGTGCAGTTCCGCAAAAAAAGGAGAAAAAAGAAAGCGGACCTCTCTATGGGATTTTAGGGCACATATTATTATTGGAACCACGAACGGCTCTACTAGGAACAATGTTGAAGGAGGGAGGACATTAGTGGCAGAGGATTTGTTTTCACCGCAAGATGGAAGCAATGCGATACTCGGCTCCTGAGCAAAGCAAGACAAGTTCAGACGCGCGCGGTCGCGCCGCACTGCAAGCTGGGGCAGCATGACCGCGTAAATCACCTTATGCCTTCACTTGAGGAGCTTCTTTCCCTTTCAGCACCACATAACATACTTTAAACAATCTCACACCACTACCCTCCTCTACATTGGATGATGATTCGTTAATGAATTTTCATCAGAGCAATCAGAAAATTTGATAAAATGCCGCTTTCGTTCCTTTCTCTATACAGAGGTGATGAAAAAATCAACGCGCTGAGTTAGTGACAACCACAACCGACTGTTGCAAAGCGATCCCGGCCAGGAATTGGCACAGGTTCGCCAACACGATCGCAGCGTGCACGATGTTCTTCGTCGCCGCGTCGTCACGAGCTGCCGCCTCTGACTCGACCGCTTTGTGACTGTGATACCTTGAAAAAATCTTCTTAGATGTTGACAAATAACATCTGACAAAAAAGTATAACAGTACTATCAATACTGTGCCAATTCCTTGCCGGGATCGCTTTGCAACAGTCGGTTGTGGTTGTCACTAACTCAGCGCGTTGATTCGGCATTCGGCTACTTACAAGAAATTCCTTCCTTCTATATATGAACATTTTCAA